CCAACCCTGAGACTCCTGGACGTCCATGGATTCTTGGTGTGGGAATGTCACGCTTTCCATCGCAAAACCATTGAAACCCAAGAAACCCGGGGCACCCTGGAGGCAAGCAGGGTGCTTCTTGGCATGGGCCTCCACTGTAGATGTAACCCAAGTCAGGACCTCGTCCAAAAACTGACGGGGATCAGCCCAGTCCAGCGAGAAGCCGGCCACACCATACCCACGTCAGCATGGTAAGGGACACTGGGATTCGCCATCTCGTAGAGTGCAACGTCCACAGCGGCGCAGCGATGGGACCGGGATGAGAAGGCAACGACGCGATAGAAACAGCGAGTGCCAACATATCCTGGATGTGCCCATGCCGCGAACAGGAACACCACACGAAGCAGCAAGCATGGCGGCCCGGCCGAGCCGGTCGACCGGCAGGGCCCTCGACGCCCCCCGAGGCCACACGGCAGTCCTGGCCCTCTGGGGGGCCACGTCTTCCAGACGCGTGAGCCGGGGGCTCTGCGGAAGCAGCCCGCGCCGAGGCACCGCGGCGAAATCGAAATCCACGCCAAGACTGCGTGCTACAGCCAGGGGGGGGGGCGTCTCCGGTGACAAATGCGGCAGCGAAGGCGTAGCCTCGACCACCGCAGACGCCAAGGCGGGGTGAGGACGCAAAAAGACAAGTTCCTTAGCTTCCAGCGACGCTCGGAGGCAGGCGTTCTCGGACAAGGACCGCATCAGCGCGGAGGCCACGATCGGCCCCTGGCCGGAGGAGGAGGAGGAGAAGGAGGAGGATGACGATGATGAGGATGAGGATGAGGAGTAGGACTAGGAGTAGGAAGAGGAGGAGGAGGAGGAGGAGGAGGAGGAGGAGGAGGAGGAGGAGAAGAAACACAAAAAAGAGGGGAGGGCATGAGGAGGAGGAGGGGGAGGGGGGATAGCACCTGGGAGGAGATGAGGAAGGAGGAGGAGGATGAGCAAAGGAGGAGGGGGAGGCATAGGAGGAGGAGGAGGGAAGGAGGAGGAGGAGGGGGAGCAAGGAGTAGGAGTAGGAGGAGGGAGTGAGGAGGAGGAGGAGGAGGAGGAGGAGGAGGATGAGGACGGCGGGACGAGAAGGGGGAGTGCGAAGACCCTGAGACGGGCGCGCGAAGGCGGGGCCACTCGCGGCGGCGGGAGACCGCGGCTCCGCGCGGCGCGTCAGGCCTGCCGGGTGCCGTCCCAGTCCCACCTCGGCGGCAGCGGGGAAGGCGCCCCGCTGCCGCGCCCCGGGGATTGCACTCCTCCTCCTCCTCCTCCTCCTCCTCCTCCTCCTCCTCAGGTTCCTGTTCCTCCTCCTCCTCCTCTCCTCCTCCTCCTCCTCAGGTTCCTCCTCCTCCGCCTCCTCCTCCTCCTCAGGATCCTGTTCCTGTTCCTCCTCCTCTTCCTCTTCCTCGCCCTGTTCCTCCTCCGAGACGGGACGGCGGGCGACGTCCGCGGAGCGCACGTGCGCCGGCGCGCGTCCTCTGGGGCGACGGCCCGGGTGCTGCCAGGAGTGCCCCGGGCTCAAGGTTTAGGTCGGGCCTGTCCCCCCTACAAGCGGATCTTGGACAAAAACTAGAAAATATCCATAAAGTGTTCAAACATGGTCCAAAACATACGAAACATCGCCCCCAGACCATTTCCCCCAACCAGTTGCGAATATCCCTCCTGAAGAAACATCGCCCCCAACCAGTTGCGAATCTCCCTCCTGAAGAGGGACGTGCCCGACCCAGCTCGAGGTGCCCCCCAGAGTCTGAGCGCCCCCCTCCCCCCGACCCCGGCCCTCGGCGGGCGGCGCGCGCGCTCGGCCCGCTCTCCTCCTCCCCGGGCCACGGGGCGGCGTGCCACCCCCCGAGCCGGGCGAGCAGCTCGGTCCGCTCCTCCGCGCGCGCGGGGGCCCGGCTCCTCGGCGTCCTCGTCGCGTCGTCGCTTGTCGTCGCCTCCTCCTCCTCCTCTCCTCCTCCTCTCCTCCTCCTCCTCCTCCTCCTCCTCCTCCTCTTCCTCCCCTTCCTCTTCTCCTCCCCTCCTCCTCCTCCTCCTCCTCCTCCCCACCCCCTCCTCCTCCTCCTCCTCCTCCTCCTCCTCCTCCTCCTCCTCCTCCTCCTCCTCCTCCCATTCCCCCTTCCATTCCCCCTACCTACCTCCCTCGTCCTGTCCCGGGCCCTAGTCCTCCTCGTTCCTCTTTCCGTCTTCGTCGTCCTCCTCCTCGCCCTCCTGCTTGTCCCGCTCTCCTTCCCTCGCCTCCCTGTCCACCTCCCCCTCCTCATCGTCGTCGTCGTCCTCCTCCAGCCTCCTTCTCCTCCTCCTATCCTCCTCCTCCCACCCCTCCTCCTCCTCCCCCTCCTCCCCTCTTCTTCTTCTCTCTTTCTTCGTCCTCCTCCTCCTCTTCCTCCTTCTCCTCCTCCTCCTCCTCCTCCTCCTCCTCCTCCTCCTCCTCCTCCTCCTCCTCCTCCCCTTCCTGCTCCTGCTCCTCCTACTCCTTCTTCTGCATCTTCCTCTGCCTCACTCACTGCCTATGTGGCGGGTGGGGTGGGGTGCTGGCCGCTAACCTAACTTTTCACTTTCTGCAGCCCCGCGTATTCCCGCGCGCGAACCAATATTGCGTCCCCCCTTCGGACCTGCGCAACCGACAAGGTCAAAGTATCCGCGGTGTGTGTGTGTGTGTGTGTGTCTGTCTGTCTGTGTGTCTGTGTGTCTGTGTGTCTGTGTGTCTGTGTGTGTGTCTGTGTGTCTGTGTGTCTGTGTGTCTGTGTGTCTGTGTGTCTGTGTGTGTGTGGGGGGGGGCGGTGGGCCCGATAACCAGGTGTAACTCGCGGGACCCTAAACAATCAGTCTCGAAGAGACGAGGGATGAAGCGAGGCGTCGGGAAGACGAGGGAAAAAACAGGAAGAGAGAACACGGAATGAACGTAAACTTTGGGAGGGCCGCGCAGGTTTCTTGGATCGGCGCTGGGTCCCTGGGGCTGGGTCCCACAGGGGGGGGGGGACCCAGTGCCGATCCAAGGCCTCCGCGCGGAGCTCCGAAAATTTTTGCTCACGCTGCGGGAGGAGCCGCTGTTGACGGTCTCGAGGATGGCCATAACAAAGCAGGCGCTGACCTTGCAACCCTGGCCCGTGCCTCTGGTCAGATAGCGTGCTGAGCGCAGTCTGCACGTGAGGGAAAGCGCCACTCCTGGTGCTCTTTGGGCATCTGGCACCGCCCAGACCCACCCCTCCCCTTCTCCTTCCTCCTCCGAGCGGGGGTTGCGGAGGAGTCGGGGCGGCGCGGGGCAGAGCAGGGGCGAGGGGTGAGGTGCCATGGGCGGGCGTGGGCCGCCAAACCTCTGTCCTGCAGCGAGCTCGCGCGGGCCCGGCCTCGGGCGCGGGGCCCGCTCGCGGCAGGTGGCCCCCGCAAGGGCGGGCGCAGGCCGCCCTCCGCGCGGCGCCGCGCGCCCGCCCTCCGTCGGGGAGGCGGCGCCCGACGCGCGGCGCGGGGAGCAGCGCTCGCCGCGAAGCGGGCGGGTCCTGACGAAGGCGGGTCCGGTAGGTGCCTCGGCGGGGCCCTGAGATCCTGGCGACCCCATGTCTTCGAGCCGGGCGGTTTCGCCCAAACTTCGGGCCCCAGGGCCCTCAGAGCTCGATCCAGCTCGAAAAGTGACGCAGAAAGACGGGGCCCAGGGGTCTGGCCGCGATTTTTTGCGACGTTGCCATTTTTGGCAACGTCGGATCTCAGGGTCCCCTGGGGCCCCTCCACGTCCTGGGCGGCGCTCTGACAGCCCTGGGCCCCGGGGAGGGCCCCGGCAGCGCACCGACTTCGAGGGAAGGCCGGAGCCCGCTGGCTGGGCGTTGGAAAGTCTGGCAGCATCACGTAAAACAGCAAGCTGTTTCAGAACGAACCTCGGGACCCGCTTCCCCTCGTGAGCCGCATCGAGCCTGTCCCCGTCCCCACTGGCCTGGCCTTGGCCCCTCTGGCGGATTTCCTCTCCAGCTGTGGGGATGCACGCTGCTCCCTCGGGGGCTCTCGGGGCTCATTCCCATCTCGGGGGTGGGCCGGCAGGGCTGAGGTACCATGCGTGGCCTTGTGGGGAGCGGATCAACGAGGCTGACCTCAAGACCTCGAGCAGGGGATCAACTACAGAATTGCGTTTTACTCCGAAATCGAGTTCCCCGCCGAGATCTACCAGGAGCGCGCAGAAGGCTCGGAGGTCTGCGGACATCCTGCGCAGCGTCTTCGTAGATCCGGCGGGGAAATCGAGTCTGGGGTAAAATCCATTCTGCACTCGATTTTTCACTCGAAGATTGGGCGTTGGCAGAACTGGGTTTCGTGGGACCTGGTTTAGTGATCTGTACTGGGGGACGCCCCACCGCCCCGTTCCACTACCCGGAACTGCCATCACCCGAAGAACACGAGCTACGGCAGACCTGGTTGAGTAATTCTAGCCAATTCAGGGGCTCCGGGGCCCTACCACTAACCGGGTCCCCTTACCTTCAGCGCCCCTCTAACGGGGACTCCACTAACGGGTACTTTGGCCAGTGACCCCGCGAACCTAACCCTCCCCGATGTGGGCAACGCTGCAATGCCACAAAGAGGCCCTAAAGTGGCAACTTTCGGCAATGTTCAAAAGTACCCGTTAGTGAGTACCCGTTACGGCGCCGCTGATACCTGGGGTCCTGGCCAGACCCGAGAAGACCCGCCTGCCTCGTGGCGAGGGCCGGCCATCAAACGGGCACGCGCCGCCGGCCGGCCGGCGGCGCCGCGGCCCCCGGAGCGGCAGCGGGCCTGCTGGCGGCGGGCCTGCGCCCGCCGGAGGCGCGCGCGCGCGAGGGCGCGGGCGCGCGCCCGTCGTCGTCGTCGTCGTCGTCGTCGTCGGCGTCGGCGTCGGCGTCGGCGTCGGCGTCGGCGTCGGCGTCGGCGTCGGCGTCGGCGTCGGCGTCGGCGTCGGATTCGGCGTCGGCGTCGACGTCGTCGTCGTCGTCGTCGTCTTCGGCGTCGTCGTCGTCGTAGTCGTCGTCGTCCTCGTCGGCGTCGCGGGCGCCGCGCCCCCGTGCCGGGCAGGCCGTCGGCGGCTGCCGCGGAGGGGCCGCTCACTGCGCGGGCGGCGGCGCCTGCGGCAAGGCGGCCCCGAGGCGCGGCAGCAGCGCCGCCAGGGACCGCCGGAAGCCCTCGCTGCAGCGGCCCTCCTGTGGGAGGAGGCCAGCTCTCGGCGACTCGATGTTGAGGCCTCCTCCTCCATCCTCCTCCTCCTCCTCCTCCTCCTCCTCCTCCTTCTCCTCCTCCTCTCTCCTCCTCCTCCTTCCTCCTTCTCCGCCTCCATCCTCCTCCATCCTCTCCTCCTCCTCCTCCTCCTCCTCCTCCTCCACTTCCTCCCACCTCCTTCTCCTCCTCCTCCTCCTCCTCCTCTCCTCCTCCTCCCCTCCTCCTCCTCCTCTCCCTCCTCCCGCCTCCCTCTCCCTCCTCCCTCCTCCCTCACTCCCTCCTCATCCCCTCCTCCTCCTCTCCTCCTCCCCTCTCCTCCTCCTCCTCCTCTCCTCCTCCCCTCCTCCTCCACCTTGGAAGAAGGGCACTCCCCCTTCTCCTCCTCCCTCCTCACTCCTCCTCCTCCCTACTCGTCCTCGTCCCCGTCCTCCTCCTCCTCCTCCTCCTCCTCCTCCTCCTCCTCCTCCTCCTCCTCCTCCTGGAAGAAGGGGCACGAACAACGTCGAATCGGGAAACCAGGTCGGACAGAAGCGGGAGGAGGACCTCCTGGGCGGACAGGTGGGGGGAGGACCTCCTCCTCCTCCTCCTCCTCCTCCTCCTCCTCCTCGTCCTCCTCCTCCCACCTCCTCCTTCTCTCGGTGGCGAGCGGGGGGGGGGAAGGGAGGAGGAAAAGGCCTTCTCAGAAGGCGGCCTGGACTTCTCAAAGCCCTCCGGCCTTCCGAGGAGACTTCTGTGTCTTCGGTGGAGGCTTAAGAGACTTCTCAGAAGGCCCTGGAACTTCCGAGCCTTCCGAGAAGGCCCGCCCCTTCTCACTCCCCCCCTGGGCTCACCGCTGAACCTCGGGGGAAGGCCAAGCGAGACGCGATGGCGGGCCTCCTTAGCGTTTTTCTGCACTTCCCCAAAAAGGGCCTGCCTGTATGGATTTTTCCCAACCATCCTGTGGTGTTGGGTCCTCGTTTTGAATAGACGGTGGCCCGCGTCTCCTCCTCTCCTCTCCTCCTCTCCTCCACCCTCCTCCTCCCACCATCATCATCGTCATCACACACACACACCCCTCACACGTTTCGGGGCCCCATAGGGAGCTCCACCGAAGGTCCCAGTGGGTGTGCCCGCATGCGTCCCGCACGCCCATTTCGGCACACCCCTCACACGTTTCGTGGCCCCATAAAAGGGGGTTCCACCCAAGGTCCCAGTGGGTGTGCCCGCATGCGTCCCGCACACACATGTCGGCACACCCCTCACACGTTTCGTGGTGGCCCCATAGGGAGCTCCTCCGAAGGTCCCAATGGGTGTGCCCGCATGCGTCCCACACACCCATTTCGGCACACCCCTCACACGTTTCGTGGCCCCATAGGGAGCTCCACCGAAGGTCCCAGTGGGTGTGCCCGCCTGCGTCCCGCACACCCATTTCGGCACACCCCTCATACGTTTCGTGGCCCCATAGGGAGCTCCACCGAAGGTCCCAGTGGGTGTGCCCGCATGCGTCCCGCACGCCCATTTCGGCCCACCCCTCACACGTTTCGTGGCCCCATAGGGAGCTCCACCGAAGGTCCCAGTGGGTGTGCCCGCATGCGTCCCGCACACCCATTTCGGCACACCCCTCACACGTTTCGTGGCCCCATAGGGGGCTCCACCGAAGGTCCCAGTGGGTGTGCCCGCATGCGTCCCGCACACACATGTCGGCACACCCCTCACACGTTCCGCGGCCCCATAGGGAGCCCAACCGACGGTCCCAGTGGGTGTGCCCGCATGCGTCCCGCACGCCCATTTCGGCACATCCTTCACACGTTTCGTGGCCCCATAGGGAGCTCCACCGAAGGTCCCAGTGGGTGTGCCCGCATGCGTCCCGCACGCCCATTTCGGCACACCCCTCACACGCTTCGTGGCCCCATAGGGAGCTCCACCGAAGGTCTCAGTGGGTGTGCCCGCATGCGTCCCGCACGGACATTTCGGCACACCCTTCATACGTTTTGTGGCCCCAGAGGGAGCTCCACCGAAGGTCGCAGTGGGTACCCGCATGCGTCCCGCATACCATTTCGGCACACCCCTCACACGGTTCGTGGCCCCATAGGGAACTCCACCGAAGGTCGCAGTGGGTGTGCCCGCATGCGTCCCGCACACCCATTTCGGCACACCCCTCACACGGTTCGTGGCCCCATAGGGAACTCCACCGAAGGTCGCAGTGGGTGTGCCCGCATGCGTCCCGCACACCAATGTCGGCACACCCCTCACACGTTTCGTGGCCCCATAGGAGCTCAGCCGAAGGTCCCAGTGGCACAGTCCGCATGCGCCCCCGCTATTCATTTCGGCACACCCCATACACGTTTCGTGGCCCCATAGGGAGCTCCACCGAAGGTTCCAGTGGAACAGTCCGCATGCGCCCCCGCCACTCATGTCGGCACACCCCTCACACGGTTCGTGGCCCCACCAGAAGAGCTCCGCCGAAGGTCCCACTGGCACAGTCCGCATGCGTCCCCGCCGCTCATTTCGGCACACCCCTCACACGCTTCGTGGCCCCATAGGAGCTCCGCCGAAAGTCCCAGTGGCACAGTCCGCATGCGTCTCCGCCATTCATGTCGGCCCACCCCTCACACGTTTCGTGGCCCCATAGGGAGCTCCACCGAAGGTCCCGGTGGCACAGTCCGCATTCGTCCCCGCCATTCATATCAGCACACCCCTCACACGTTTCGTGGCCCCATAGGAGCCCCGCCGAAGGTCCCCGTGGCACAGTCCGCATGCGCTCCCGCCATTCATGTCGGCACACCCCTCGCACGTTTCGTGGCCCCATAGGGAGCTCCACCGAAGGTCCCAGTGGCACAGTCCGCATGCGTTCCCGCCATTAATTTCGGCACACCCCTCACACGTTTCGTGGCCCCATAGGAACTCCACCGACGGTCCCGGTGGCGCAGTCCGCATGCGTCCCCGCCATTCATTTCGGCACACCCCTCACACGTTTCGTGGCCCCATAGGAGCTCCGCCGAAGGTCCCAATGGCACAGTCCGCATGCGTCCCCGCCGCTCATTTCGGCACACCCCTCATGCGTTTCGTGGCCCCTTAGGGAACTCCACCGAAGGTCCCCGTGGCGCAGTCCGCATGCGTCTCCCTTGCCAGTACAGCGTTACGTGGCCCCATATGGAGCCCCACCGCAGGTCCCAGCCAGCCAGCTAGCTCTCTTTGCTCCGCGCAGTGGACGACCCGCGCGCGTCGCTGGGACCCCTTCGGGGCGACCTGCGCGCGTCGCGGGGGCTCCGTGCTGCGTTCTGCCCAGCGCCTCGCTCGCCCGTCGTCGCTCTGCCCAGCGGCAAGAGCCTTGCCCGCTATCAGCCAGCCAGCTAGCTCTCTTTGCTCCGCGCAGTGGACGACCCGCGCGCGTCGCTGGGACCCCTCCGGGGCGACCTGCGCGCGTCGCGGGGACTCCGCGCTGCGCTGCGCCCGCAGCCTTGGACTTTTGAGTGCGCGGGCAAAGAGGGAGTAAAGGAAGGGGAGGAAGCGGGCGCGATCCTCGCGGGGGGGCGCTCCGACATTGGCGTCGCGGCGCGCGGGCGATGCCGTCGGGGAGTCCCGGGGAAGCTCCTTGCGGCGGCCACGCCCAGCGTCACGAGTACTCAGAGGCAGTCATTGTCATACTATTGACATTCATATACACTTACACCATGCTTCGTCGTATTCGCATTTATGCACGTAGACTCGCTCGCACGCAGATTCATGCACAGTTCGTTGCCTCATAGGGATCGCCACCGAATAAGTGAATCACTATTGCGGTACTCACACCTGCATATGGTTGGGTCCCTCGTCAGGCTAATTTCGAATCGTGCGTGGTTTTTCCGCCACATGATCAAGGATGCTCGTCGATGGCCCTCGCCGAAGGAAGCATGCACACGTCCGAGCGATGCCAAGGGGAGGGGACGGGAAGGATCTAGCCATCCAGCGGCTCGAGACAATGCAGACGGCCTGCGCTTCGCCCGAGGGGGGGCGTCACGCGGCCAAGAAGGGGGCCATCTCAGGAGGGGCGAAACATCGAGCTGGAACCAACGATGCACACATCTATATATATATGTGTGTATATGTATATATATATATATATATAGATATGTATATATGTTTCACTGTATATCTATATGTATATACACACATCGCAGATAGATCGGCTCTAGGTCTCCAATCGCAAAGCCGCACGGTCCTGGGAGGGGTGGCCTATCGGGCCCCTATCGGTGATGAGTGGGCGCCGAGGAGCCATCCCCCCCCCGACGCATTGCCCCTGATCGTCATGCTGTGCCTCTAGTGAATATTGCGGCCCCAAGACCGTCAAACTGTTAGAGTCTCAGGATAAACAAGACACCCCTGGGGAAGGACATCTTGGGGCCAATTTCTCGACACAACGTGGCCACGAGGATCCTGGAACATTGCCGACAACCCCGCGATCTCCGAACACGTCGATGAAGGAGGCGAAGGAGAATGGGGGAGGAGGAGGAGGTGGAGGTGGAGGAGGAGGAGGAGGAGGAGGAGGAGGAGGAGGGTCTGGCGCGACGCCTGGAGATCTGGGGGCCGATGGGGTTCTCTAGAGGTCTCGTCCCCACAAGCGTCCATGAACCTCTTGACGCGTCTGGAGGCCTCACGGAAAGGGAGCACAAACGCTATAAGCCCCACCCCCTATCATCCCCCCTCCTACTCCGTCTCCTCATCGCCCCCAGACAGGGCGGTCAATTATTGCGAGTTTTCTCTCACCCTTGCGTATGCATTGAGATTCCCAGACACATTCCCTCTTCCCTCCTCACCAAATACCTGCCCCCAGATCGCTCCGCGGGTTAACCTGGGCCAACATCTCGAGGATCATCTAGCCGCGCCGACGAGGAGCACCCTGGAAGGCAACAAACAATTACACACAACACGCGGAGACCTCGATCCGGATCCCCCTCCAAACTTCACGGAAATCTTCACACATCCTCCCTCCCTCCATCCATCCATCCATCCACCCCGCCATCCT